TTGCATTTTGTATACTGGCAATGTATTTTATTTTCTTAAAACAGCACTCTTCTGCTAATTAACACTCTAATGAACAGTGATTACGACAAGGATCATCTGCTAATTACATGATAAAGCATCCACTTCGTTCGTCTTCATACTCGTAGGTATTGGATCCATGGCTCCTCCGACCACGTACAGCTCTGTTTCATAACTACCCGGCAAAGCATGATGATAAGCAATGGGATCTAACGGTGGTAAAGTCGACACTGGAGATCCAACGACTGTCGTTTCTTGGATCCGTCGTGTTTCCGTATGCTCTGTTTGTTACTTTTCTCTTCCTTGTTCTCCGACGAAATAACCTCGGCGTGCTTTCCCGATCTAGCCAGTCTCTTGATCAACGTATCCGCGTCAACTTCGCCCGTAACAGTAACCTTATTATTATGCTGAGCATCAACAACCACCGTAGCATAAACACCTACCAATCAAACATCATAAACCATTTCTCCACAAAATGAGCTAATCAATCAACCACAAGCAAAGTAAATCACTCCAACGAGTTTACCTTCAACACCTCCAAGTATTTTGGGGACTTTCTTCTGACAACCTTGGCGTGTCTGCTTGTAGTATACAACAACACGACAGAATAAGAACATTATATTGGAAGTGATGACGACAACTATATAAAAAGAGACATGTGTCTACATATATGTATGTATGTTACAATCAGGACCTTAAGTGTGTGATCTGGAACTGTTTTCTTTGTTGTCATCATCATCCTTAAGAGGAGTTGAGGTTCTAACTAGATGAAGCCAAAGCGCAGTTTATGTTTTCGACCCAACAAACAGACAAACAAACATTTACCGAAATACTACAAGTTTCCGACACCTAGAGGTGTGCGAGCTATCTGTAAATATTGCTTAGGACACGTTTCAAATTCTCAAAATATTTACAATTCATTTTGATTTGGAAAATATTTGAAATGGAGACCAAGTTTTATGATTGTTATTTTTTCTTGGGGGTAAGAAGTTAGAAGCATCCATAATTGTATATAATTATATTCAATGTGTTTTGTAAGAGCAGTGCAACAAGCGCATCTGGTGTAGTGGTATCATAGTACCCTCCCACGGTACTGACCAGGGTTCGATTCCCTGGATGCGCAATCATTTTATGTTTTCCTTTATTATTATGTATGCAACAGTGGGCTTTATTGTATTGGGCCATTACAAATGTTTAACTCAGAAACAACTCGATCGGTGGATATTTTTGGTCCCTGTCACATGATTTTCACGGGACTTTTACATAATAAGACACTTTAGTATAATAAAGTAGTTGCAGTTTAAAATACTTTGCAAGGGAAGGTGACATTACAGTTGTGAATTGTCAATTATGTCTCTCTGATAACTTAACTAGTTATTTTTTCTGGTTTAGTTATCACGGTATCTCTGGTTAGATAAATTAGGGATTTGGAATTAAAAGAAATCTTCTCCTCTTTCAAATATGGGAAAACCCTCGATTTTACTGATTCTTCGATGTCTCCGACATCTCATACTCGAATCCGACATGTCAGGTACGAAGGAGTTTCAGTCGAATGTCGTCTTCCTGTTATTGGGGGTTTTGAAGAGGATGATATTTGCAGTATGAAGATTGATATCGCCGAGGAAGATAAGTGTCTATCCTTAACACCCGTGGTGCATGATAGATACTGAATTTCTCATTCCTCAACCTTGCACCATTGTGATCGGAAACGAAGCTTCCGATCTCTGATCCATCTACCACCTCGTGAATCTATATTAGTTGCAAATTCCAGGCTTGTGTGCTTCGGTTTTCTCTCATCATCATCTCTGGTCATATGCAAAATAAAATCAACACAATCTCTCATGATTATTCAAAAAAAAATAGTTTTTTATTTTTTTGCAATTGGTTTTTTTGTTGGATCCCTACCATGAAAAACGTGTTTTGGTTTTTGTCTTGAGAAAAAATTATTTTTTTCTATCATGTTCCTGTTTTCAGGCTTGTGTGCTTCGGTTTTCTCTCATCATCATCTCTGGTCATATGCAAAATAAAATCAACACAATCTCTCATGATTATTCAAAAAAAAATAGTTTTTTATTTTTTTGCAATTGNTTTTTTTGNTGGATCCCTACCATGAAAAACGTGTTTTGGTTTTTGTCTTGAGAAAAAATTATTTTTTTCTATCATGTTCCTGTTTTCTATTGTGTTAATCTTGCTCTCTCACATGAGATTTGTTTATTAAGTTCGGAAGTGTGTTTGTTTTATTGCTACTTGGATTCAAAAGATTATGACTTTGAAGTTTCTGAGGTTGGTGAACGTGAGAGTGATGCAGAGGAAGCATATGGTTTTGGCATGTGGATTGGTGTTTTCCGAGGAGAAGAATTGGCTCGAAGATCTTGAATGGAGGATCTCCAGCTGATGAAGCTCGATCGAAGAACCGTTCGAACGTGGTCAGATCTGAAGCATTTGGTTTGGAACCTTCTCACGAAATGGATTGATGGACAAAAGTTCTTACGGCCATGATGGCGTGGATACGGTTTTGTGGACATGATTCCGTGGATACGGTTTGATGTACATTAGTACGTCGGGCATGACGTCGTGGATACGGTTCGATGGACATAAGTCTCATGGATAAGAATTGATATTAGAAGTTGATTAAATGTCTATCGTAAAAAAAGGCTCTTGAGTTGATTTTTTCTTAGACCTTGTATGATTTGAAAGAACAAAGAAACATGGTTTCTCTGATCAATCATAACCAATGACGCTTTTGTGTCTTTTTCTCTTATGAAAACATCTCTAAAGTGTGAATCTTAAATATAACTCTATAAAGCCAATATGAAATCTCTTTGCGTTTGGAAATGGTCCAAATGTATTAAAACTGCACAAGTTGTTGTGGACATAACATCTTTGGGCAAGTTTTTTTTGGATATGTTATCCATATGGCGTTTAGTTTATAAAAATATGTTCATGTCTCATTGTTCATGACTAAATTAGTTTGAATCCATGGAACAATGAAAGTATGGTGTACATGATAATGTATCTATATAGAGTTACGATAGATAAAAAATTAAGGAAAAAGTAATAAATGGGATTGTGTGACTATAAAACCATGACCGTTTGAATACGTTTGTTTGTGTGACCATAAAACCATGACCACGATAGATAAACTTTTGCTATAAACTTTTGCTGTAAACACTTTGATATAAAGTGCATATACATGTAATATTCCCTTAGATATATGACATAATTTTTGCTACATTCTACATTATTTTCTTAGTTTTTTTAACATTCAACTCGATCTTTGGAAAAATGGAACTCGCTTACACCCTTTCTTTTTCACCGTTTATCCTAAAATGGAGATACTAGACTTTATCTGAAACAGAAACATGTTAATTTAGTTTTGAGAATACTGAACATAAAACATAGTTGATGTTTGCATGGATGATGTGGATACATACGACACGAAAAAATTAGTTTCATAATACATACCAACCATTCATTCGTATCCACCATCCATTACGCTCAAACGTTACCATCCACACATAATCATCTCTACTTCACAATCTATTATATCTAAACAAGTCGTGCATTACTCATCAAAATGCTCTGCGTTTTTTTTGAAAAAATAAGACAAATTTGAAGCACATGTATTGGCTTGACCATTCAAACTCGAAGTCATAATATCAGAAGATCTTGATTTTGATTAATGTCTTAATTTCAAAGACTTAGTCAACTTCGTTTGAACGAAATCCACCAAACTACATGGTCATTGAAAAAGGTGAATTAAAACACACTATGAAAGAACTAACCATCAAACTCTAACTATGAATCACTGACCATGAATCACTCATTTCAATCCCCCTTTCCAAAACCCAAAAAATTCAATATACCAATAATTGAAAGGAAGAATAATCAAATTACCTATGATGTTTGGTTTGTTAAGAGCCCCCCCCCCATAGCTTTGCTTCTTCACCATTCGAATTCTTTTTCACATCATATCAGATCGAAATCTCAGAGCTTCTCTTCGATATCACCATGGTATCCCCAATTTGATAAAGATCATATCAAATTTAGAAATCGCCAGTCGGATAAAAGAAATTATAGATTAGATTCGTATTTCTTGGTGGCGTCCTTCGCTATCGTCCTCTTCTCAAGACCTGAGATGATGAAAACTGTTTTTGAATATGGAAATTAAGAAATCACAAGAGCCAATCATGAAGAAGGAGAAGAATCATAGAGAGATCTGATTTTAACCCAATCTCACCTTGTCAAACTTTTATCACCTATAAGAAATATCTAGTCTAGCATCGTGAATAGCAACAAAAACTCTCCATTCATCTAATCCGTTATAGTTTAATGAGTATGGACGGCTCAGATAATTTCTATTATCAATCCAGATCTAAAATCTAGTTCATTAAATTTTAATGAGTATGGACGGCTCAGATTACACAAAATTTAAACATATGCTTCCTTCATTTAAAAGGGCAAATTGGTCCGAAAATTCTTGAATCTTGTGCAAAAGTCCATTTTCTTTACAAAGTACCTTTGTTTGAAAGATATGTTTGAGAAAGTGTCTCTGAATGTAATTTTCTCTGATTTTTACTTGGACTGCAAAAAGTGAACCTACTACAATTCAGTCCTCATAAACAAAAGGCAACTTTGGCTCACTTTTGCTTTACTTATTAGTATATCATTTAAGTTCACTAATAAGTTTTTTACCTACAACTTTGGCTCATAAACATTTCACAATCGGTTAAATTCCTCGTCAGGATGCTGGAAAACGTGGATATTATCATTTAAGATATTTTGGAATGGGACAAACCAAGTTTGTATTCCTTTGCTATTAATCTCTTGTTAATGAACCGAATTAAGAAAATCTCATGTCGGTCGAGTGAGATGGTTATGGTAGGTGTTCCATTTTTTTAAAGAAAATTATATTCTCTCCGTTTCAAAATTTAAGATGTTTTGGAAGTTTTTTTTTGTTTCAAAATATAAGATGTTTTCACAATTCTATGTATTTTTTGAATTTTATTGAATATTGTGTGACCAC